GAGTGATACGAATGTCAAGTAATGAATTAACTTATTTGTCGGCAATATCAGGTAGGATGTGATTAGTGAAATCAAGAGATGAGATTGATGAAAATTTCTTAGAAAACAATTCAGCTTTGTCTTTAGGTTAGGTAACAAAATCTGAAATATGCATAAGTCTCTGGAGTCTAATTTTTAAGATGAAATACAAAATTTAGTGACCTAAAAATAGCGAGCATTAGAAAAAACATTTTTTTTTTGGTTTTTAGCAATAGAAAATAGGTGCCTGTTTTCTGGAGACTTTTTTTAACAATATATATGGAAGTTATAGTTACGATCGAAAAATGGCAATAGCACAATGAGAGAAAAACCATGGCAACAGCACAATGAAAGAAAAACCATGGAGAGGAGTGAGGCTTGACTTGGAATTGTTAAGAGGAAATAAAAGATTTCATTCCAGCTTGAATCCAAGAAGCTACATAAGAGGCACATTTTTCAGCAGGATGGCGAAAGGTATCTACATAAGAATAATCACAAAAAAAAATTACAGAAAGAATTCCTGTCAGGTTTAAGGTAGTTGTAAGAAATGCAATGATAGAAGGATTCTGATGATGAAGAAAAGTAAGACAACGATTTTAGTAAGATCAAACCGTGATCAAAAGTACCTAAAGGTGAATGTGGAGGCTGAGCTCTAACTAGGATCAGAAACAATACATAAGTTGAGTAGAGAAGGTAAATGATTCGAATTGTTACAAAAGCGATTTGGAAAGTTGATTATTTGTGTAAGAGATTAAGAAAGGCAAAATTTGTTGGCCTTAACACCTCCAGACTCACTAACACTAGAGCCAAGCCGTTCATTGTGATAATCATTAAAGTTGCCAACAACAAAGATATCGGCTAAAAGGTCGAGAGACCGGACACAATCAAATAGTCCAAACAATTGTCTTATTACTATTAATAAATGCTTAACCGTAAAAAAAGGCTGCAAATGTGATTACGGCAACGCATACTAAATGTACGAACAATTTATTTTTTAATTCTAATTTCTTTTTTTTTATATTTTTGGGGTCGAGGGGGAGGCGTAATTTTCCTACCTTGCCCGAAGCAGAAAGTTGGCTTGGTACGGCTCTGACTATCAGATTTATTAATGATGACTTTTTAAATTGAATTGTGTTAAAAAGAACTTTGAAATTGTGTCCCGACAGAAATTGAAAAAATTGGGGGAAAAATAATTGAGAATAATTTGAGAAGAGGCTCATTATAACTTTTGGATACATAATCTATGCGTAAAAATAGACGTATATAACCATGTTGTTTATTTAACTTTCAGTAATTTTCGGCATAAAGGTAAAAAATATTGCAGAAAAAATAACTATGATATGAAAAAATTTGGTCACCCCTAATGTCCACTTATAGGGTAGAAAAAATTCCGAGTACTTCTAACAATATCCTGAAATAAACTAAAGTAAATGTAGCAAAAAAAAAATACCTCCAAAAAACTGGATAGACTTTTGGACATCAGTTCCTGCTCTATAATAGCTAAACTAATAAAAAAAAAATGTTTTACTGTTTATATGCAAGATTTAATGCAAATGTGACCTAAATAAAAATATGTTTTTTTAATAACTATTAGAAGATTAAAAGCAAAATACTTTTAAATAAAATATATGCTTGTATATTACAAGTAATACTATTTTCTTACTAGTAGTATTATATAGTAAATTACTATGAATTTCATTTGAAATTACTCAATACTGTAATTTAATATTTTTCATTGCTCTAGAAGAAAGATTATACTTAAAAAAGATAGAAAAGTTTGGTCCAAAGGATCATTTTAGTTTGGTTTAATTAATCATGAATGGTCTAGAAACAAATCTTTGATATTTTAAACAATCTTTGTTACAAGAAACACCTTAGTAAAAAACACTTCTAAAAATGGCATTATCGGAATCTGGTTTAGAATCTATCAGCTCTAACATTAGTGAGGTAGTCACTAGAGCCTGAGTTTATATATTTAAATAGAAACACAAGTTTCTATTTTTATTGAATATGTTAAATTAAGTCAATTAGTTCAACTTTGTTATATTTTTTTAATTTCGTTTTTTAATTTAAAACTTTTTTCTGAAACAATTTTTTTTTTACATAACTTTATAACTTTTCTCATTGATATGGTGTTTGTTAGTTTGTTATTGAGTTGGTTAGGTATGATATAGGAAGTTCAATTTGAGCTGCACTTGGAAGTTTTCTTATGCTTGATCAATCAGGGTTGTTCAATGATCCACAAATCATATCAATTTTAGTTTTAAATAAATCCAAAATAGACAGACGAAAGAAGATGATTAAAATTTTATCGGGTTTGAAATCTATTCCGAAAAACTAGAAATTTGCTTGCCTTGGTGTTGATAGTAAAACTTTTTGATGTTGATAGTTGATTTTAGTTGTAAAAGAAATTAAAACAGAATGTCCTGAAATTGAATTAAAGAGATCAACAGAAATATACACCTGATATATGACTGCGACTAAAAAACTTTTTTCTAATCTTTATAGCGGCTATATCTCAATGTTTTATCTCTTGTTGCACCAACTTGCACAAAACTTGCACATGAAACATTTAAACTTAGAGTTTCTATAAACTACTTGCAGAGTCATGGCTAGCAATACGGGTATCAAAGTGGAATGGCATAATTGCGAATTTCTAAAAAAAGTCCTCAATAACTGGAATTTAAAAAAAAAAAAGTCTTTTAGAAAAAAAGTAGGGGTAGGGGTCGGCAAAAGTGCTACCATGGTCCCCGGTGTTTTTGGCTCTGAGAGTATTACAATACTATAATAAAAACATGTTATATAGCATGAATGGTAGCCAAGTTAGAGAAAATATTCGTACAAAAATTTCATACTATAAGCTACAATATTCATCAGAATGAACTTAATCTTAAGCTTTAAACATAAGTATGTCTATGCCAAATGTGTGAAATTTGTGCAAACTCTAAAACTCAAGTATAACTATGCCAAATGAGGAGGCCTTGCAAAAAATTGGAATGGTGGAGGTCTGGGAACAAAAAAACCCTAAAACGCTTGCCCCTCTGCCCAAGCGTGAGTGCACTAATGTAGTAAAATTTCAACTTTACTATCTAAAACTAAGTTTAAATTTATCGACAGATTTTAAATCTCGTAGAAAAATATTGTAAATTACAAAAGTTATGACCATACAAAATTAACATCCTCTCCTAATTTTTTTTTTTGGGGGAGGGCGTTTATGGCTTTTTTGCTCACAGGCCTCTGCTTTCTTAATTTTTTGCAAGGCCTCCTCATTTGGCATAAGTATAAACATACTAAAGTTTGGAGTATGCACAATGTGTGAAAGTGTCTTATCTGGAACATCAAAAAATCCTGCGGGCTCCAATGCATGTGTGTGCATTGAGATAAACTATACCCTCTACTCCCTACAGGGCCGTCGAGAGTTGTCACGTCGCCTGGGACAGCAATCCTGATTGGAATCCTTATTTATCAAATTTCCTCTATATTATATATAAAGGTCCTTTTCTTTTTTTTTTTTTTTAGGTACATTTCATTTGGCGTCCCTTGGATATCTGCCGCCTAGGACAAGCTGTCTCGATGGGCCCCACTCCTCTCGGCGGCCCTGACTCCCTATACCTATACATCTTTTGGCATTTTTATGTTGGCAAACTCGGATCTTTAGTCAGATTTTTAACTTTTCTATTGATTAGCTGGTTAATTGTGATAAATAAGAAAATTGATGTACGTACTTTTAAATTAAACCCTCCCCCGCCCCCCATACGGTTTCGTACGCTTTTTGAAGACCTCCCCCCCTCCTCCCCCCTCTATCCTATGAGCGTACGTACTTTATGGACGACCCCTTATGCAATATGGATTACTTAAGTATTATGATAAAACTGTAGTATTTAAAATCCTCTAGATAACTAAAACTTAGTTTTTATAACATTTTATAACTAATTTATATTATATATAATAAATGTTAAAAATAATAAGTTTTAGTTATCTATCCAGAGGAGTTTAGATATTACACATTGTATAAGTTATCCATATTGTATAATCAATTGATCTAGCAGTTTGACATTTTCGTCGTTTTTTTTTTCCCTTCACATAATCAATTAATCATTTTTTAGCCTTACTCCTTTATATTTTTGTTCTGATTCCAACTTTTTTAATACTGTTGTTTCTATTACTTCTTTTTTTATTACTTGTATTAATGTAGTTTACTTTCTTTATTATTTCCTTGTTTTAATATTTTTTGTTTATTTTATTTGTTGATTTTATTAAGGTGTCACTCCATTGACTAGTTTTTAACTATATGAGTGACACCGAACCTAATTTTGTAAATTATAATTAAATTTTTAATTTTTAATTTTATGGTTAAATAAATGGATAAAAAAAATAAAAATAAAAAAATAAACATAACACATGATGTCATTAAACGAGGCTTAAAATTTTTAAGAACATAAAATTTAAAGATTTATGTTTTTAAATATTAATTTTTTATGTTTTTATTCATATTGCATATGTTAATATATTCATTACTTTCTACATAAGCTTTTATAAAAGTCTATTATGTGTCATGTAAAGGAAAAAAAACCGACAAGAAATTTAAAAAAATCTAATTTTTATTTTTAGGTTTTCTATTATGCAAAATCTTTTATTGTTCCTGTACTAGTTTGAATAAATTTTCTTTTTTTTTTGTATCTTAGTTTCTTAACATTTTAGTTCCGGTGAGCGGTTTGCTTTGATTGTTAATTTTTTTTTAATGACTTTGAGTAAATATTCCTTATCTTCCCAATCAAAATTCAATTGTCACAAAATACAAATTATACTCCTGCAAAGACACAATCAAGCTTGCAATACAGCCAAACTATCATGCCATGGAAACCTTAAAAATGAATTTAATTTAACATTTATTATTTAACACGTTGCTACTCAACAAAAAAAATTTAGAATAAGCTTTTACGTACAAACCTGGAAAATGGATTTAGAAAAAAGTCTATTACACATTTAAATAGTAGAATGTAACAGCTTTTTTGGCAGAACAAAAAGATAACAATATTTTATAAGATAAATTAAAAAGAATCAAGCTTATAAATCGCATACAAATCCAAAAAAGCATTTGATGGAAGAATTAGAATCTAATATCAAAGTAATTAGTATATGACCTAATTTACAAATATGCATAAAATATTGGGAAAAAAATAAATGAAGAGACTAAGATATAAATGAATAAAAAAAATACAATAATAAAAATGAAACTGTTAGAATAAAAATTCTTAAAAAATTATGAAATAAAAATGTTCTTTATATTTAGGTAGCAGTTCGTGTGCGCCCGGCAAGTATTTTTGAGATCACTAATGGATATAAAACAATAACAACCGTTCTTGAAGATAACGTAAGAACTTTATTCTTAAGTATGGATTTAAAATATGCTGAAATAAGAAAATATAGTTTAAAAAAATAATAAAATTTTATTTTATTCTTTAACGAAGATATTGTGAAACCATCGATGTTTGCAATATATCACTGCATCTATTGCATTATTTATAGTTGTGGGAGTGGCTGAAATAGTGTCTAATGTTATATTAATTACTTCACTTTTTATTATACTAGATGGTTTGTCTGGAAGATCCTACTGACAACGATGACCAGATTCACGGAAACCGTTCCCGAGCAAAATCATATGTATTTGATCATGCGTTCGGTCCCAGCAGCACGCAGGTAACTGTTTAAAAGTGCAATTACAATGTTTTATAAATAAGTAAAAATTTTATATAACATTGCTAAAAGATTTAAATAGTAATATACTTTTAAAGCAACAAAAAAAAATTGTAAATAAAAACAAAAACTACATTTTTTAGTTTATTTTTTAATTAAGAAATCTAAAATACTTATATAAGTAAAAATAGAGATGTTTTGTTGAGGCGGTTTCACTAATACATCCAAGAAAATGCGGCCATTCTGCGGCAATTTTTTTTATAGCTATTGAGCAAAATTTAGCTTAAACTTCATTTTATCAAAATTTTTTCCTAAACACACAGAGGTTTTAAAAAAGTAGCAAAAGTGCTCATTTACCCAGACCACTTGGTAATATGAGCACTTTAAATTAGCTCAAAAAAAATAAAAATAAAAATAAAACATTATTTAAGAAAAAAAAAAACAAATAGGGCCGGCGCGAGTAGGTGTCACGTGGGGGAGGGGGGGGGAAGGGGTGCCATTAAAACATTTGCCGACAAAAAAAAAAAAAAAAAAAAGGTCCTCGTTTTGCAAAATTTGCCTACTGTCATGACGACATTTGCCGACTGTCTAACCTATACTAACCTATATCGAAAGGGTCCACATTTGCCGACTCACTAGGTCCAATTTGCCGACTATGGGTTCAATTTGCCGACTAAGGGTCCAGTTTGCCGTTGATGGGGGGGGGGTGTCACACAACCCCACCCCGCGCCGGCCTTGACAATTTTGGGCGAACTTTATTAATTTAAAAAATTGGCGCTAAAAATTAAATATGTAAACAAATATGATGTGGACTTGAAAATGTACTTCTTCTGCAAGTTGTTTTATAAATTATTAAAGATTATATTAATGATGCCGTATTTATAGTTTTAAACATGTTAAGGATGCCATATACGGCAATTTAATTTCCATTTTAGATAAGGCTGTTAGTTATAAGATAAATATTCATCCAAATTTTTGCGTAAAAGAGTTTTTAAAAATAAAATAAAATTTTTAAGACTAGTTCGTTTCTAGCCAAGTAGTTTTGACTCAGAATTATTTTATATTTTATCAAATATATTAAATATATAATAAATATTATTTATTTAAAATAGTACATACAAATATCATATTCAATATGGTATGTAATATACTTAACACTAAACAATCTATTCTTCTTACTCTAAAAATTATTGTTCTTAACATTACAAGAAACGCCTTTATTACCAATGTCATAGTATTTAACCTTTTAACAAAGCATCAAAAATTTCAAGCACATCGTTACTTCTGCTATTTTGAACGTTAACTTGATACTGTTTATTATCCAAAATTACTTTTCCCTTATTTTTAAATCTGCGCTGTTATCTTCCCTTCTACCCCTCATTCTTCTGTTTTATATATACACACATGTGAATGTGTATCTATAGGTATGTACCCATTGTGCGGGCATGTGTATAGTAGATTGTGTTTATGCATGTGTGTATGTATATGTGTAAGTGGTTATGGATATATTTATAAATATATATAATTAAAGTGACTAACGTCCTTCTATATTTGTATAAGAACACTGTAAAAATCTAAGTATTAATTATGTTTGGCACTGCGACAAAGGGACATATTAAGCAAAAAAAAAGTGACATATATAAGTTATAGTTGTCCTTGTATTTATAATATAACACCCTCTGATGTATTAAAAAAGTTTATTTCTAAAAGTTAATTTTTTAATTTCAAATCCTTATTGACTCTTGTTCCTTATGTTTAGATTTATGTTTGATTTGTAATGATGGTTATAATTTTTTTATTTTTAAATGTATTGTAATACAAACAAAAAAAGTCATACATTTTTACTATTTTTTATTTACTCCTTTATTCTTCCACTAAAATAAATCATAGCCTTGATATATATATATATATATATATATATATATATATATATATATATATATATATATATATATATATATATATATATATATATATATATATATATATATATATATATATATATATATATATATATATATGTTATGGGTCGCTATGATGGAGCCAAGGTTTGTGAGCTGGAGCTAGTTGGTCTGTATATATTAAAATCATTATCAGAAACTGTTACCAACAGCGATAAGGATCTTTACCAAGATGATAGACTGATAATAATCCGTAAAAAATCTGCCGCACAGATTTTTTTAAATTGTTTTTTTTTTTTTTAAATTGGCTTCCAAATAGAAATTATGATAAACCTAACAATTGCTAACTTCTTAGACATAATGTTTAATCTTGAAAAAGACTCATATCATCCTTTCAAAAAACCAAATAGCAATTTACTTTATATCCATACTGAGTCCAACCATCCTCCACAAATTATTAAACAAATTGCGATTGCTATCAACGATAGGTTATCCCAAAATTCTTCTGACAAATATATATATATATATATATATATATATATATATATATATATATATATATATATATATATATATATATATATATATATATATATATGTATATATATATATATATATATATATATATATATATATATATATATATATATACATGTATGTATATATATATATATATATATATATATATATATATATATATATATATATATATATATATATATATATATATATATATATATATATATATATATATATATATATATAACACCCTCTGATGTATTAAAAAAGTTTATTTCTAAAAGTTAATTTTTTAATTTCAAATCCTTATTGACTCTTGTTCCTTATGTTTAGATTTATGTTTGATTTGTAATGATGGTTATAATTTTTTTATTTTTAAATGTATTGTAATACAAACAAAAAAAGTCATACATTTTTACTATTTTTTATTTACTCCTTTATTCTTCCACTAAAATAAATCATAGCCTTGATATATATATATATATATATATATATATATATATATATATATATATATATATATATATATATATATATATATATATAACATTGAAAATCTTTATCTAATTTCTTCATTCAATTTTCTTTATACACTAATTGAAACTCTTATGATATAAATTGCAGAGATTTTAACTTCCCATGACCTGCCAGAAAAAATCCAAATATGTGTATGATATAAGTATATTATTATAGTAATTTTAAATGAACCTCATATTTATTTTTAATTTTTTTTAAAAAAATTAGCTCAGTAATTCAATAAAAATCAACTCAGTCTTTAATTTAAAAATAATTTTTTAAAATATATTTGTAAATAACCATTGGCAGTCCTCATTTGAGATTTACTATTTACTTCATTAATGCAATGACCCCAAAGTTAAATTTTGTTGTGTATTTGTTTCCAATTCAAACTTGGCCTGGTTTATGGTATATTTTACGTGTTTATAATATGTTTCATTCTAAAATAAGTGTAAAATGAACCTCTGGAGGTGATCAAATATGAAAGCAAAATTTCTTCATACAAAACTTTTAATAAAATATCTTTTGTTTTTTAGGTGGTATTAATTTTTTTGTTTATCCAAAGTTATATATATTTTTTATTATTGTGCAATCAATTCTCTTTTACTTTAAACTCAAGAACTCAAAAGTGTTTAGATTTATGTGCACATTTAAACACCTGCAGAATATATTAGTAATATAAATTTCCTTAAGTAGCCTGATTTTATTAAAAATAATATTTTATATATCCTTTGAGCTATTTTAATATTTAATGAAATGTAAATAAAATTGAATTCCAGGTTGAAGTTTACAATCACACTGCTAAACCATTGATTGAATCTGTACTTAAAGGATACAATGCAACGATTTTTGCTTATGGGCCAACTGGTATTATATCAATTTTTATTTTAAATTGTACTTTATTAGATTTTTACAACAATTTTTTGAGCTTTTCAAATCAATATTTTAGGAACTGGGAAAACATATACAATGCTTGGTACTGATTATTCACCAGGCATTATGGTACTTACACTTAATGACCTATACAAACAAATTGATCATACAAGGCATGATAAAAAGTATAAAGTGAAGCTTTCTTATCTCGAGGTATTTTTTTTTTAATTATATATTTGCATTATTTAAGAATACGCAGTAAAGTCTTTTATGATTGTTTGTATTATTTTAAGCTTTACAATGAAATGATACGTGACCTTTTGAAACCATCGTCTGAGTACTTAGATCTTCGAGAAAATAGTAAAGGTGTTCAAGTTGCTGGTCTTACAGAATATGAAGTCCTTAGCACATCACAGGTAATGGAGATGCTTTCACGTGGTAATCGCCAACGCATGTGTGAACCAACAGCTGTCAATACTACATCATCTCGATCACATGCAGTGTTGCAAGTGAGTTATTTTAAAAGCTGCAATTTTTCTGATTAAGTTTTTTTTTTTTGAGATATTTTTTGTTTGTCTTTTGATAGGGTCAGTTATTTTTGGCTTAATATATAAGATCTTTTTTATTTTTCTTAAATTTTAACTTTAACTGTTTTTTGATGCTGTTGTTATGTTTCTTAAGCCTTTAGTATATATGTAGATAATGATGCAGTTTTTATATAAATATGTAAATAATATAAATTATGTAATTGTATGTAGTTGCTCTGTAAATGTTGTAAATAGAATACTACTTTATTAAATAATTCTAGCTTTAGTATAAACTAAAATAAATTATTATAATAGAATATAATAGAACAATTAATTACATAATAGAATAAATTATTATAGTAAATTAAAATAGTTTATAAATGTTTATAAGTGTTTTTTTTTTTTTAAATAAGTAATTTAATTAATTTACTAAATAATATTATAATATATCAATTAATAAGAATAATTAATTATTAATAATTACTATTAATAAATTTTTTTAATTCTATTAATACTATTAATAAATTTTTTTAATTCTATTAATACTATTAATAAATTTTAAATTTATGAATTAGTTTAGTTTAACTTAAAATGTTCATATCTAGGTTACAGTGGAGCAGCAAAATCGCATTCATGATATAAAAAATGAAGTAAAAGTCGGAAAGCTGTTCATGATTGATCTTGCAGGATCAGAAAGAGCAGCAGACACCCAAGTATTTTTATTATGATTGAACATTGAAAAATTTTGTTATTTTTGTTTTTTAATTATTTTTAAATCATAATCAGAATTTATTTTTATCTTCATTTTTAAAACTATGTTTTAAATGCATATTTTTTTAGAACACAGGTAAAAGACTAATTGAAGGAGCTCACATAAACAGATCCCTGCTGGCGTTGGGTAACTGTATCAATGCACTTAGTAAGCAAGTGTTTTTTGATAAGTTTTTCAAATTTGTATTTAATTTATTAAGTTATTAGGAAAAAAGTTACTTTTTAAGTAAACCAATAATGTAAAACAAAATTTGTATTAATTTCAATATTGTTTTAATATAATAAATTTAATTATAGTTAGTATAATAAATTAGTAATTGTTTTTAAAAATTTAAACTTTTTACAATTAGATTTTTGTTTATTCACACAGGTGAAAAAGGAAAAGGTGCATACATAAATTATAGAGACAGTAAGCTTACACGTTTGTTAAAGGTAATGTAAAGTATAAGCATGGCTGAGTGTTTTAGATGTTTGAAATAATCAATTTCTAAATATAAAGGTTTTTGCAAAACTTTAAATACTTTTACAGAGATTAAAGCCTTCTTTAAATGTGGGTCCTGGTGTAGAGATTTACAAATTGCACAAATAAAACTTTTTTTTCCTTAATGACAATATATTTATTAGTTATTTTAGTAACTAGATAAAAAAAGAGATAATAAGCATTAGTATTAGATAAAAAAATAGCTGCAAAATTTTAATTCATTCATACTAGCAGTAAGCAACCCATAATACGGGTTGTTAGTAAATAAAATTAAAAAAAAAACCGCGTATAGAAAACCCTAGAAACTACTTTAAAATAGAAAGTCGACTATTAACTACTACTATTAAATTAGCGTATTAATATTATCAGAAAAGTTCTGTTTAAATAAGAGGTTTTCTTGTTTCTAGTCTTTATTACTGAAATTTTTTCAAAATCATCTTTATTTGTTATAGTTATGTTATATAAATATTCAATTTTGGAATTTACTCCATCTTAGAAAGTAGCTTATTTCAAAAATTTAAAAAACTTAATTATGCCTATTATAAGTTAATTTAGACAATTAATTTTTAGTGAATGTATACTAAATACAATTTTTATATTTATAAAATATCTAATAAATAATTTGTTAAATAATTAATTTTGTAAGCAATTAGCTATAAAATGTATAATTTTTTTAAATTATTTTATATTTATTTGTTTTTTTATTTTATATTTATTATTTTTATGTTTATTATTAAAGTTTTGATTATTTATATTGAGTCTACGATTCAATTTTAAGTTTAAGTTTCTGTTCAATTTCTTTATTACAATGTAATTTGTAAAAGCAAATCCAGACTGATCAAAAATCAAACCTTTTTGATATATAGATATGTACACCCCTAATTTACTGTATACCCTTACCTACTCCCCTATTACATTTTAAAGTTACCTTAAATAACTACTTTACTCAATCGATTGTTATTGGTAAAAAGGTTGCATTCTCTAATTTTTAATTAAATATTAAGTAAATAAGTTTGATAATACAGTAAATGTTTGTTTATTGCTGATGTATTGCTAAATACTATATTTTATTTTATTTTTATTGTAAAATAGCTTTGTCTAATATATAAATATTAGTGGTCATATGAAGTCTTGAAATTGCATGTCTTCCTGGCCAAGCCTAAATGTAACTAAATCTAGATTTGAGACGTAACTAAAATATGTCTTGAACATAGATTTTTTTAACATTACGCTTTTAAAAAAAAAAAGATATAATTAAAAAATTTATATGTGACGCATTTTAATTTCATTTTTATTCTAAAATGTTTTTCATTACGTTACATCTCGATTGGTTAAATTTTTAAAGGTAATAAGTACCTTAGATTGCTTAAATACCGTAAGTTATTTTAACTTTTAAATGTACTATTTTTATGTTTTTTATTATGTAACTTTTAAAGCTTTAAAATTTGTAGGTGATTTAAAAAATTTTTTTTTATCACAATAGTTTTGACGAACATCTTATTGGGTTTTCAAAAATTAAATACATACATTATCAAATATATAAATAATATTTACAGTATTTAACAATGTGTTTGTCGAGATATTTGTAACTAAAACTGCTAATTATCATAGTTAATTTTAATTATAAAATAGATTCATCTTAATAAGTTTTTTTTTTTTTGTAATTAATTTGCCACCAAAAAAAAAAGTTTCAATTTGCAAAATAACGTCTCAATTATTTTATTTAAACTTAAAAAGGTGCAACTTTTAAAAAGTGTAAACTAAAATGTAACTTAACGTTAAAAAAATCTTTATTTGAGATGTATTTTAACTCTGTTGTCATATAATCATGTCTCATATCTAGATTTTGTTACTTTACATTACGGTTTTTTTTTTGGTCAATAATACAAGTGTAATGCGAGTTTTTATAAACCCACAAGCAAAAATGTATATAAAATGTCAACCTCACTTATGATATTGATTAATAAATGATATCATTAATTAGGTTATGCCAATTAAGTGAATAGTTTGCACTATCTTTGCAATATCTGTTTACACCCTACGCATATGTTTAAATTTATATTTCTGACTTAACTCTTTAACTAAATCATGGTTTTCTTTTAACTCTTTCTACATAGCTTTCTCTAAAATATATAGCTCCCTCTCCATATATATATAAATGTACATATGAAAAAACAATTAAATAGAAAGATATCATAAGTTACAATGTCATGTGTCATTAGGTCAAAATGTTACATGTTGCTACATAACATTTTACTTATAACGTTATGTTACAGTGTTATGTATTGTTACATAAAATGCTATGCCTCGGTTACGTAAAAATAATGGACATTTTGCACGTAACGTAATGAATCTGGTTTTACAAAATAATGTTGGTATGATGTTCATTTGTTGATGTTTATATAACTTATGATAGTACATTCATAAATGTACTTCTTAACTTATGATAGTACATTCATAAATGTACTTAAGTCTTATGTGTATGTATGTACTTAATGTACTTAAATCTTAAGTTGTGATACAAATACATAAAATGTACTTAAATCTTAAGTTATATAAACAGTAAATTTAACTTATTCAGTTATTAATAACTGAGTACTTTAATTTTTTTCGAATGTAACAACTTAAAGATGTTGTAAACATAAATTAAGATAATTGAAAGATTTATAATCTCAGTAATCAAACTATATAATTATTTGGTTTAAAATTTAATAATGATAATTATTAGGTCTAAAACTTATTAAAGATTAATGAAAGTAGTCTGTGGCTAGTAAGTAATTAAATTTCAGAATTAGAAATTAAAAGAAATAATCAAATAACCAAATTTAAATGCTGCAATATTTTATTGAAATATTCTTTAAAATGGCTTGGTTTATATGCATATTTCAACATCTGCAGAATATATTGATACCATGAATTATCAAAATTTGTCTGATTCAGTTAAAAAATTAAAATATTTTTCTGATTCAATTTAAAAAAAATTTAATAAATTAAAACTTAGGAATAAGAGCATTAAAAGAACTTCTAGTTACTATAATAACTTCAAGTTACTAATTCTAGATAGCTCCTGCTAGGTACTGATAGCTACTGATAGCTACTGATAGCTACTGATAGCTACTGCTAGCTACTGATAGCTACTGCTAGCTACTGCTAGCTACTGCTAGCTACTGATAGCTACTGCTAGCTACTGCTTTTACTTATAAAAATTTACTTAAATTGAGAAGTCATGTTTACAAGTATTTAATAATGAAATACTTTTTTAAGTTGTACCATATTGGGTATTTATTGTTGCATTTTTGCTTGCAAATACATGTCAAATCTGTTTGGGGGGCGGGGCATAATTTTTTTCAATAAAACATACCATATTTGAATAAATTTACAAATTTATAATTTATTATTTAAAAATACTTAAATTTGTTTATTTATTATTTCATAAGTTTGGTTAATCCATTATTTAACTTTTTTTTTAATAATAATATTACTATACTGTAAGTTCTCCTGAATTTTGTACATACTTTAAAAAAAAAAAGTTTTTTTTTTCCAGAAAGTGTGAAGTCATTACTTCTGTTTGATTTTTTCTATATAGAATGAACAGTCATCTCAGCAAATCTTAAAATCAAAAAACTGTTATTAATTACTGTCATTGTAATAACAAAGTTTAAAGATGTTGTTTGAAAAACTCAAAACCTTTGAAACATTTTAAATAAATATTTTTGTTGTCTTTATGCATTTTTCTATTTCTCATAATTTTAACTGTGACATGACCTTATATTGCACATATCTACTGCACATATCTAAATGCTATAGAACTGTACTTATCTAATTACTATAGTACTGTGGATATCTAAATACTATAGTACTTTACATATCTAAGTACTATAGTTCTGTGCATTTATAAGTAGCAGTTATAGTGAATAAAAGGTTATTTTCTTCCTTCCTTCTCCTGATTCATTTAAATTTTTACTCTGCTTTTAGGATTCACTTGATGGAAATTGTAAAACAGTTATGATAACACATGTAAGTCCAGCAGACAGAAACTTTGAAGAAACAAGAAACACTTTGTCATATGCAGATAGAGCAAAATCTATCAAAATAAAACCAAAAGTCAATCAATATAATGTTAATTATCATGTTGCTCAGTATCAATCGATTATAAATGAGTTAAAAGATGAGTTAGTCAGATTAAAAGGACAGATGCACTTAAAATCAAATCAAAAATCTGCAGGTAAAAAATTATTTTTTAGTTTTTTCAAAAACTATTTCTTTTTGAAAAACTGAATTCAATAGTTGAATTCAGTTTTACAAATAGAAATATTTTTTGAAAAAGCTGAATGCTAATGAATTAAAATCATTTAGTTCCATAGCATTTTCTCCAAATAAATTAAAGCAATTTAACAAACATATTGCACAACCTCAGCATAATACTAAATATTGTACTACCAATTGTTATTGATGTTCTAAATAAAAGAACTGTCTGCAAATGTTTGTGTATGTAAAGAAACTAGCATAATTTAAATGCATAAATTAGCATAAATTAAAAACTAGCATAATTTAAATGATACTCAAAGATAAAATTAAAAAAAAGTATCTTTATCAGACTTTATTAAAAAACGCTGATTTATTTTATTTTCAAATTTCTATTACATCTATATATTAAACATTGTTATCTTAATTGATGGAGAATTGCCATTAATGTCAGCATTGCATTTATTGCATGTAATTATCGATGTACTAATTTAAGGTTGTTTTGATTATAGCTGTAAGTTTAGCTTGGCATATTTACTTTAGCTTGGCATATTTACTAAAAGAAAAAAAACAACAAAGCAAAGATTCTATAGCTGAATTTTAGTAGACCTATATAGGCATTCTGATCACTTAGTGGACCATTAGTAACAGCTGTTAAAAGTAGCTAGCCGATGACTAGCAACTATTAACATGTCAGAAAGTTATTGTGTAGCTAGTGGACCATTAGTGGCAGCCATTTTCAATGGCTGCCACTAATGGTCTCAAATGTTCAAAACTGCTCAAAATACCTATATAGCTCTGCTGCTTGGGTGGGTTTTTTATGCAATTTAAAATTAAGTTTATTCTTGTTTTATTATTATTCAGTTTTATTAAATTTAATTTGTCAATAGTAAGTTACCAGGGTTGAAATTTGTCTGGGGCAGGGGCTGGGTTTGATTGAAAATAGCCTGGGCCAGGCCTAGGTTTTTGACCTGGGTTGCATAAACATACATCTAAAGTATATTTTTTTTATTTAAAGTTTATGTTACATTTTATACATCACCATCATCATACGTTTCATACGTTAATGCTGGTTCTACTGGAAAATATGTTTGTATCTGGAACATGTCTGAGCTAGCTTTTAGAACTAGAAGATAATATAAATCCTATGTATGCTAAATCCATAATAGGTCATTTGTAGTATGGCTGGGTTGACTAGATATGATTCAGGGATGAAATTTTTACACTGGTTTCTAGTAATATAACTAAAATATATAGTTACGGTTTAACATACATAATTGCTGTTTCCACAGGAGAATATTTCTGTGTCTGGAACAATTCTTTATTGCTTAGCAACATTTGGTCTAGGTATCTGTGACAACATTAAACTTTGTGTGGTTTTTTTTTGGTAATTTCTTGTGTATTTCTACATCTTATCAGCTTGAGTTTATTTATTCAATAAAAACCAATTTTAGCAACTTGTTGTATTTTTTAATTAAGTTTTATCTAACAGCATTTATCATAGTGTAGTTGAATATTTTGTGTTTTTCTATCAGAATAATTTTTATTATTTTCTATTACTTACATTTTAGTTTATTGTTTTTTCTTATTTTTGTTAAAAAACTTTATTTATATTTTATTTTATATATTTATATTATTATCTTATATATTTTATCTTATTTTAAATTTGGTATATTATTTGGTATTGAGTTCACTGCTCTTAATCCATATTATTTCTTCAAAAGTATTAGTGCTTTATAAATTTGGGTAAAGTTAGGGTTTTGGCTGTTTTGTAGTGAAGTCCTTTTATACTGCAGTATGGAGTAGGTGTAAATTGCGGGGTAAAGCATAAATGGCAATGATGTTTATCTGACGGGATAAACAAGGTATTGGTACTGAGCCTCTTCGAAATGCCGGTAATAATAAACACGATTCTGAGGAGAAGTTTATTACCACCTCTATATAAATATAAT